AACACAATGGGATCATCCTTTGGATTTACCTTCAGACATAGCTTAACATTTGCAAAAAAAAAAAAAAAAAATTTAATGACTTACAGTCACATCAATAAATGGGAGTAATTGTACCTCATGTCAAAGGTAGTAAATTGGCAGATTAAAATGAGACAACACCTATGTATTTAACACAGGTAACAGGCACATAGTAGTTTCACAAAGTTTAGTAATCATCATCCATATTAGCTTGAAAAAACTTAAAGCATAAACAACTTTTAATTATTTAAAATTGTTTAAATTTTAATTTGAATGGATTTTGGTAAAATATAACAATATTGCCTGTATAGTTTGGATGTCCTAGGAGTTTTAAAGGGATTTTCCCCCTAATTAACACTTCTAATAACCCCCTAAAATAAGTTTCAAAGTTCAGTCTCCTTGAAAAGTTATTTTAGAACATGAATTGATGAATATAGTAATATCACACCTAGTGCTATAGAATGAAAATATATTTTAATCTAGTGCTTAGCACAATGTAAGACATAGTAAGAAACAGTAATGTATAAACTGTAATAGCTCTGTAAGTTAATTAAAAAATTTGATAGCAAGCAAAAACTTAATGTTATAATTCATGTTTTAGATTCATAATTCAAAATAGGCAATATCTATAAATACATTAAAACCAGATGTCTTTGGAAAAAAAAATCCTAAGGAACTATTCTGGTGTTTTTGTTTTGTTTTTTTGTTTTATTTTGTTTTGTTTTTTTTGTTTTTTTTGAAATTACGTTGTAATTGGCTTAAAATGATACCTGCCACAAAAACGTCATTTTTCAGATAGTCTTATATTTCCCACTTTATATCTAATGTTTCAAAAGTATTTTATAAAGAATAATGTCAAGTGTACTAAGAAACTCACTACCATATAACTTGTATAATAAATCTAATGTGAAGAATTATTCTATCATAATGTAATTGTCACCTATGGATATTTCAGATGTCTAGGTCTTTACTTATGGGAGCTTTAGTAAAGTTTGACCTGTTTGATTTTTCAGGTGCTGTTTCATTAGGTTGCTATCCACCACTGGAGGGAAATTTATACCGAAAACTTCTATTGATTCCTTCTTATTTATCTGAGATTGAAATGCTTTTAGCTATTGAAATCTTCCTGGTATCTAATGCTAGTAGTATTCAGAGTCCTGGAACGTCCTCACAGATGTTACAGATAGTTTTGAAAAGGTTGGTTGATAAAACTAACTACATTCTGAAAGCAGATTATGGGTTCCCATACGTGTCCTACATTACAAATGTTTTTTGTACTTGTATATTTTTATTTTACATATACTCTGTAGATAGATATATAAACATATGTGTATTACAAAATTTGCTAATATTTAAGAAAGCATAGGATTTATTTGAGACTTAAAAACTAAACAAGTTAAGGGGCTGGGCATGTAACTCAGCAGTAGGGTACATGGTTAAGATGCTCAAAGCCTTGGTTTCAATCCCCAGCACCACCAAAATAAAAGTTAGTAGCATTCAAACACTTCAAGTAATTTCGAAGCTGTTAGATTTGAAAAAGATCCATCTTCAGATACCCACTTTTCCTATAATTGTACCTATTTGTTTAGAAATTGTAATTGTTTAGAGATTGGTACCTAAAAGTTCTTCTTGGTAACCCAAAAGATGTAAAAACCAGGTCTAAGCCAGGTGCAATGGCACACACCTATAATCCAGCCCCAGGGACTAAGGACCTTGCTAAGTTGCTTAGGGCCTTACTATCTCAAAATAAAAAATTTTAAAAAGGGTTGGGGATGTTGCTCAGTGGTTAAGGCACCCTGGGTTCAATCCCTGGTACCAAAGGGAAGTGGGGGAACCCACAGGTCTAAAAGGGAAATATGTGATATTTTACTTGGTTCAGTCAAGAATACTACTGAAAATGAAGCCATCAGCCTAGTTTCCATATTTTAAAATGTTTTTATATATGCATAGATATTATAATATAGGTGTTAGACTAGAGTGACACTTTAACGTCCCCTGAATTTAGACTTATATCACTGATTTCTTGCTTGCCTGACCCAGGAAACCTGAAACATAAGGATCTTACAGGACTCCTATTTTAGTTTCTTGACAAGAATTTTGCTTCAGTTTATTGATGTAATGAATCAGATCCTCAGACTGAATACTATTGCATAGTTTTCTATTGCATAAAAATAACCTAAAATCTAGTGACCTAAAATAGCAAATATTATCTTTGTTTTTGTGGGTCAGAAATTTCAGAACAGTTTAGCTGGATTGTTCAAGCACAGCATCTTTTACGAGACTCAGAATTTTTCATGTAATTGGAGTCAGAATGTCAGGAGCTGTAGTCTTCTACATGATGCCTTGACTGCATCTAGACATTGCCTTTCCTAGTTGAATCTCTTGATTGCCTATTGTCCAAAAGCCTCAGTTCAACACATGAGCATTTCCATAGGTTGCTTGAGTAAAAGGAGAAAACTGCAAGGCCTTGTGTGACCTGTATCAAGCAAGAACTGTGAATGGTGTCAGATTTTACCCTATCTTTAAGTTACAAGTTAGCATGCCACAGTTTCCTGAATGCTTGCATAAGACTCAAGACTCTTCTGTTGGAGACAAGAATACTTTATTGTGGTACAGGGAACAGCATGACTATCTGCATATTTATATTATTCATTCTCATTCCTAAATCCACAAATGGACCTTTGTGTATTACTTGCAGATGCACTGGATTCTGTTACAGGAGAGGAGTCCTAAGCTTAAGAGAATCCAAATCTTTTATAATGGGAAATAGCATGCCTACTTTTTGTTCTGCAGGGAGATACTATCTCCATCTTCTACGGCTGTAAATAAACCTGTCTTTTTCTCCTGAAGGAGAAATTATCCTGACTTTCAAGATTGTTCCAAATTTCAAAGATGTTTATATATAATGAACAAAGGATAGTTGGTGCCTTTCAAAAAAACTTCCCAAATTTCAGGATACCATGGAAAATTGTCATCCCAACAACCTAGTAACCAAAGTGACAGTGAACAACTTTGGATTTCTTCTGTTAATTATAGAAGTCATTTAGTCTAGCTCACTAGAAAGAAAATAATTTCAGCTCCACCTTTTTTTTAAAACCCACTAAAATTAGCACCCCCTCACACACACTTTTTTTTTTTTTTAATAGCTTTGTTTTCTGAGGATTTCCTTTTTTAACCACTGTGAACTATAGTGCCTGAAGCAACTATGAGGCATCTTAATGAGGGCTTGATTTTTCTGGTAGCATTCCATTCCTCACACATGCTGTCTGTTTACTCACTGTTGAATTTGGGGAGTATTTGTGGCCCTAGAGCATAACTAGTGACATCCATAGAACTTGATTTCTTTTTTATCCAAGCTGAGTATGTTTTCTCTTATTATTATCATGCTGATCTCTGCCTTATAATATTAACTCTTCTGAGAGAAAATATTACTCATCTTTAGATTTTCAAAACACTACACATATTTGGCATATGCTCAGTCTACCAGAGCACCACTTGCTAAGCTAGAAGGCACATGGCCACTTTTTCCTCTCTTTGACCATTGGCTCCTGTTTCAAGTGCTAATATAACACCTACATCTCTATTTTAAATACTTCCCATCTTATATCCCAGAGGAAAAAGTGCCCTAAAGAATGAATTTTACACAAGCACCCACAGTCACAACTGATAGCAGAGAGCTGGTAGAAAATGTATTTATTAGAAAAGTAAATTCTAGCACTTACTTTCTTCAGTCCTGACTTGTTACTTCATTAAGTTAAGATATACAGCAATACAGTTCGATACCAAATATTAGCCACTATTATTTGCTTTCAACTAACAATAGTCAATATCAAGATAAAATTAACATGCAGTTGTCAGTAATGCAAAACTTCATTCCATTTAATATTCTTTCATGCATTATAGTGAATAATTATACAGTCATTAACTTTGCAAATACAAAGTGATAGGTAATTATGTTTTAGATCAGTATTTTACAAGTCATCAGTTGCTGCCTAGTTTGTGATGCAATCATTTTAGGGTGTTGCCACCATCACTGTTAAAATTGAAAGACAATATAAAGTGTACATCATCAGAGTAACTATTTTATGAGATTTCTCGTTTTTTATGAAATTTTTATATTACTGGGTCAAAATTTACAATACCTTTCTTCCCATGCATGGGTCATTGTCTGAAAGATACTTCTAAAACAATAAAGTGAAAGGAGTGTCATGGCTTAGTACCAATATAAATGAAGCTTTTCAAGAAACCATATTGTTGCTTTTTAGAATTTCTGACTTTGTGAGATGTTCCCTTTATAGATGTGAAGACAACAAGTCTCGGAGCAAGGATGATTATCAAGCTGCAGTGGAAAGGTTAATTATGGCTGCTCGAATATCAGATCCAAAGCTTTTCATTAAGCACATGACTGTCAATGTTAATAAGGAACAGGTTTATAGTTTGGAACATTGTTCTGCCCTGAAATGGTTGAAAGAGAATATGAAATGGGCTGGAAAGGTTTGGCTTTTCAGTAACCATTAGTTAATAAAGGCTTTTTTTTTTTTTTAAGTTCAAGTAATCATTGTTGAAAATAAAAAGCAATAAAAATAAAGTTTTCACTTTTGAGTTTTTGCACTTTTTTAAAATTATAGCAAGTTAACTGTTTTCAAGCAGTAAAAGTTTGTATTGATATATGTAATTTGTAATAGTTTTATCCACACTGAAAGTGACCTTTCAAATTAATTTAGAAGAACTTCGGTGTGGTAAATCCCCATTTACTGCAAAATCCAAACAGTGAAAAAAATCACTGAATTCTGTGCACCATTTAATAAAAAGGAACATTGCAAGCAGGTAACAAGTGTTCAGAAAAACTTTGAAGTTTTTCTGTAAGGGTATGAAAGGGATTACTGTGTCCTCAGTTCAGTCTAAGCTAACCTACAACTAATCTTTGCAAATGGTAAAATAGTATTAAAGCGACTTGAACACAACTTTCAAGGTACCTTCTGAATTTAAAGGCATGCTTCCTGAAGTTTTCCTTTGGTGCATCTTAGAATACTGCTTTTTGAATATTTGTATTTTGTTACATTAGTAACAAATACGAGAACTATCCAAACCACTTTGGAAGTTAAAACTTCTTTTCTGAAGACAGCTTCAAAATCTGCAGCGTATTCGCCAACATAATAGCCCTCATTTTTAATTTGGTGCTTAAAACCATAAATTCATATCATTTAGAGAGAAAAAAATGAATAATTAAAGAACAAGATGTGACCGTGACGGGGGCTGGAGCACGAAACCTCCTTCAGGGAGTCCCCAGAGTGCGTTGACTGCGGCATCCCTCGCCAGGCTCCGGGGCGGGGCGGAGCGGCGCTGCGCATGCGTGCCCCGCCCCCCAGCGCGCGCCCAGTTTGCCCTTCGTGGTTCCCCGCCGGCCGTCGGGCCAGACCACCTCCTGCCGGCTAGCCAACCGTCTCCCTGCGGCCTAGTCCCGCACATTCCGGAGCGCTCTTGAGCGCCTCCTAAAGCTCTCAGCGGAGCCCCCCGGGCGGCCGGTAAGAAAGCAGGGAAGCAGCGGGCTGTGGCGCCGACGTCAGCGCGGCGGGGCGCCCGGAGGCTCGGCCCGCGCGCAGGCGCGTTGGGGTAAGGCTGCTTGACCTGCACCCGGCCGCGTGCGGGCGCTCGGGGATACGGCGGCGCGCGGCCTATTGGCTCCTTGGTTGGCGTGGGCGGTGGCTCCCCGCGAGCGCGCGCTCGCACATCTCGGCCTCCTGGAACGTCCATGCTGTGAGGAGCGCGGGCCGAGTGCCTGATCGTAGGTCGGTCCCTTCCGAGGAGAAAACGGAGGCAGAGCTCGCCCCACCTCAGTTTGGGCTTTGAACTTTTAAAGCTCGTCCGGGGCCCGGGTATCTATAAGTGCTTCATCTTTCCTTGGAAGGAGAACACAGAGACTTTAGGCTTCATTGTTTCCGACTTAAGATTTCCCAAAGTGTTTGTCTTGCTGCAAATTGTTACGACTTAAATTTCATAGCAAGGGATTTAGAAAAGAGCCAGATGGAGCAAACTGCTTTCAAAAAAAAAACCTTACAAGATGGTTACTAAGGGAAGTCACAGTTTAAATGAGAGTAACCTAAGGTTAACTGTTAAATAAGTTACTTTAAAATGAAAATTGTCCCAAGAGGTCAAAGCTCAGTCCTGGGACCTCCACTTGGCAAACACTATTAATTGTTGTTTCTGTATCTGGCGAAAGTAATCTAAGTAAGAGTTTTTCTTTACACTGCCCCATAATTTGGATTTTTCACCAATTATCTTTCCAATAAATTTGGTTTGGAATTGCACAGACACTCAGTGATCTGTAAATGGATTGTTTCCCATCTTCCAGTCCCCATATAGGGAGGACACCCATCTCCTTGAACATGACTTTCCAGAGCGCCCCTGCTCTTAGGTGTAGACCTGGCAGTTTCCTATTTTACCCTGTGCATGTCTGTATCATTACATTTACTGTATTGTTTTATGATCATCTGCCTGTGTATCTGTTTTTCCACTTCTTCCCTCTTCTATACTTAAGATTTTTGGGAGCTGGAATTGTCTTGATTTGGCGTTTTTTTGTTGTTTTTTTTTTTTTAATTGTAGATGGACACCTTTATTTTATTTATGTTTTATGTGGTGCTGAGGATCAAACCCACTGCCTCACACATACTAGGCAAGCACTTTACCATTGAGCCACAAACCCAGCCCTGTCTTGATTTTTTCCCCCTATTCCCAGAACTTTACACAGGACTTGGCACATGAGCCTTGGGTGGGTGCTTCTTGGACCCAGAATGCCTCCCAAGTCTGGTAAGACAGCCTAACTTCTTTGGTTGTTTTGTAGCATGCCTAAGGCCTTTTCCAAATGGAAGGCTATCCGGTTAACTGAAATATGGACAGGAACCACTTGCATTAAGAGTTTAAAGACAAGAAGCCTACAATTGATGTGGATGCCCCAAGCTTTCACAGCTCACTTTACAACATAGGCGAGCACCCAAGTCCTCTAGCAGTGTATCTTCAGCTGATAGTAACATGACTTTCTGTGTAGCTGGTTCTATCAGGGAAGAAAACATGAGATCTGAATCTTCTACCATTCTCGGCAGTATGTCTTTCAACATAGATTAAAAGGTTGGTGTTCTGATCATCAGACAGACCTCTTCTGATTTAGTTTTTCCAGGGCCTGCTTATTTATGCCTGAAGCGGTACAGTTGGGTTCTTGGTCTTGCAAGGTTAAGACTAAGAGCTGTGTCACACACAAAGGCAAGCAGCCATGCCTCACTGCCTGCTGGAGTCTTTCATTGTCTCCACTTAGAATTTTATTTTTAAAAATCTCAAAAAGTAAATAAGCTATACAGGGAACAAGGAACTGGTTCAAGAACAATTTTAAAATTACTTGATTGGCATATGATTGTGCATCTAAAGATCTTTCCCTGTGTTTGTATTAGGAATTTTTTTTATTTATGTTTTTGGTTGTAGTTGGACACAATACCTTTATTTTATTTTTTATTTTATTCATTTATTTATTTATTTAATGTGATGCTAAAGATGGAACCCAGGGCCTCGCACATGCTAGGCAAGCACTCTACCGCTGAGCTACAATCCCAACCCTGTATTAGGTATTTTTAGTGAATTAAAGTTTAAAAGCTTTCTAACAAACACCTCAGAATCCTCTGAGAACCTAAAGCAACAGTTGTCAGACTGGGCATGTATCAGAGTCCCCTGAGGGTGTGTCTTGGCAGAGATCTCTGGATCCTACCCAGTTTCTGGTTCTGCAAAGCTGGGGTGGGGTCTAATAATCTGCATTTCTGACAAGTTCCTGGTGATGCTGTTTTTGCTTTGAGACCTCGGCCCTTAAAGTTGTATTTTCTCTTCCTTTATCCTTTTCCTTTTTCCAAAACTGGAGCTAGATCAGATCACAGTTTCCCTGTCACTTAAGTCTTCAGAGCTTAAAGGAGAGTTTACAGGAAACATGTGATAGTTATTTCCCACTTACAGGTCTCCAAGGGAAAACATCCATTTCCATTCCAATTCTTAAAAAGAACCAAAAAATATACATTTAATTCTTCCCGTGATTTGTGTAGGAAATGTTTATGTTAAAACAATAATTTAAGTAGATGTCAGAATTATTAACTGAATATACATATGAATGCATACACACACATATAATTTTCTCCTTTCTCAATATGATTGATGACATATTTCTATAGGAAGGTGTATGTGAAAAGGGAGAATTGCTGGAAGCAGCAAAAGAAGTTACATTCCCTCTCACTGTTCCACTGTCCTCCAAGGAACAGTGTTTTTAAAAATCAGTATTAATTTATAAAGAAGCAATTCCCATATCACAACATTATCATACTCACATCAGTTTTCTTTTTTGAGGAGAAAAAAATACTATTTCTATCAAAACAAATGTTTTATTACTAAGCAGGCACTAATTTTGTCTTGAAATAGTAAACATAAACAATTAGCCATGTTTATTCTGATAGATTCAAAATAATTTTTCCTACTAAAATGTTTGTAATACTTAAGTCAGTCATTTGTACTTAATGTACTTAGGACTTGTATTCAGGGGCTAGGGTTGTGGCTCAGTGGTAGAGCACTGGCCTAGCATGTGCAAGGCCCTGGTTCAATCCTCGGCACTACATCAAAAAATAAAATAAAGGTATTGTGTCTAACTACATCTAAAAAATAAATAAATAAAAAGACTTCTATGAAGTCTTAGCAAAATTACCTACTGCATTGTACATTTTAAGATTTTCAGACATTGATCATTTATTGTGATAATTCTGGGAGTTTTACAGTCCCAGAATTTGTCTTCAAATAAAATATTATAGTTAACTACATGTTCTATCTATATGCAAGCCCTCACTAAGTTGGAAAAAGACTTCTGCAATTTTTATATACCCTTAATTATATAATAATGATAGTTGCCACTTCTGTGAATTTTCTTAAGTTACTTAACAAATCCTGTGAAATAGTTAACCCCAACTTTCATACCTTATGTACTCCTGAAAACATGTACAAAAAATTAGATGTGGGATTCCATATCCAGAGTGTTAAACAATAATCATAATGTTCTAAATTATATATTTCCTTTTAAAATATCTCTAATGGTTATTTCTAGTATTTTGTATGTGTCTTTCAGCCATTTTTTTCTTAAATACACAGTCTAAATGACTTTAGTCTTGTGAGCATCAGATAAAAGCATGATAGATATATCTGTTATTCTTTCATTTGTTTTATTCTTGTTCTTTATTGCTGGAACTAGAATTGTAATTTTCTGTTTTTTATAAAAACAAAAGTCATTAAGATATTCACTAATTTCCCTGACTAAACTAAACTCCAGTCTGGTAAACTATAGCATTGTGTTAATTCAGTTAATAAAAATTTTAATTCAGAATTAAAGGGCAGTTTGGAGTAATAGTGTAATATACAGGTGTTTCTGGCATACAGTCACACATGCGTTTTTGGAAAGCCTCACATCCTGAGAGATAATGCATTAGAGTAAGAGGGCTTATGCTGGGGGAGCTACACACCACTTAGAACTTACTGAATTTTACAAGAGCCTTAACAAAAATCATATTAAATCTAGTGCAGACCAGTTTCATCAAAACTAAAATTTCAATCTAGGAATAGCCTTAGTAATTATTTTTTTAAAAGACTTGGAAACATTCAGCTTTTTTATGTATACTAGCAAATTTCCTCATTGTTCAATACAGTGGAAAATTTAATAATACTTAAAGTAATACTTGTAGTAATACTTTCATGAAGCCACAAAACACCTTTGCCTCCACCCCTCATGCTAGGGATGAACCCAGGGCCTCACATAGTAGGCAAATACTCCAGTGCCAGAATTGCTGCTGAAACCCAAAGAGGTAACTGCTTGGGGGTGGGGCTTCACTTTTTTTCTAAGAACTCTGCCTGTCCACAAAAGCTTTCTTTTTAATGGAGGAAATCCCCCATGATTTCATAAACTGAGATATCACTCAAGATAGTTAAACCCAGATTGCATTGTTACCGTCATAGGCCTAAATGCAGCTTTTGAATTGTTCAGTAATTTGGGCTTTTCAAGCAAATTTGGTTCACAGCAGAATTAAACAGAAAGTAAACAGAATTCCCACTTATCTCCTGTCCCAAGACACACATAACCTCCCGCACTGCCCAAGTCCCACATTTGTTATAATCAGTGAACCTACACTGACACATGGTTATTACCCTAAGTCTATACTATCGGGTTCTCTTTTGGTGGTGCACATACTAAGGATTTTGACAAATGTGATGAGTTTCTACCATTGTAGTATCATACAGAAGAGGTTCACAACCCTAAAAAGCCTCTGGGTCTTGTCTATTCATTCTTCCCTAACTCTGGCTCCTGGCAAACCACTGGTCTATTATCTCCATACTTTTGTCTTTTCTGGAATGTCATATATTTGGAATTGTAGCCTTTCTAATTTAGGCCTTTTTTAAACTTACTAATATGCAGTTACTTAAGTTTCTTCCATGTCTTTACGTGGCTCAATACCCTCTTTCTTTTTAGCCTGAATAACATTCCATTGTCTGAAAGTACCATAGTTTACCCATTTGCCTATATAAAGGACATATTTGTTGCTTCCAAACATTGGATAAAACTATTATCAACATCTGTGTGGGATTTTGTATAGATATGAGTTTCAGTTCATTTGGATAAATACTAAGGAATGCAATTGTTGGGTGGGATGGTAAGAGTATGTTTAGTTTGTAAGAAACTGCCAAGCTGTACTACTTTGCATTCCCATCAACAGAGAGTGTGCAGCTGTGAATGAGAGCTCCTGTGGCTCAAAGTCCCTGCCTGCACTGTTGTAGGTGCAGTACACTGTTGTCAGTGTAGTCAGTGTTGTAGATTTAGGTCATTCTAATAGGTATGTGGTAATATCTCATTAGCGCTTTAATTTCCAGTTCCCTGATGACGTGTTAAACTTTTTTTCATATGATTTGCCATTGGTAAATCCTCTTGGTAAGGTGTCTGTTCAGGTTTTCGTCCATTTTTTAATTGGGTTGTTTACTTTCTTATTGTTGAGTTTTAAGAGGTTTTTTTTGTGTGTGTATTTTGGATACAGTCCAGTATCAGTTACATCTTTTATATGTGATACTTTGAATATATGGCTGTCGTCATCTTCTCTTTTCTTTTATATTTATTTTTTAGTTTTCGGTGGACACAAACATCTTTATTTTTATTTTTATGTAGTGCTGAGGATCGAACCCAGCGCCCTGCGCATGCCAGGCGAGCGCGCTACCGCTTGAGCCACATCCCCAGCCCTCGTCATCTTCTCTTGACTTTCATGGAGCAGAAGTTTTCCATTTTAATGATGTCTAGCTTGTCAGTTATACTTTCTTTCATGGGTGATGCCTTTGGTAGTCTATCTAAAAAATCATCTTCATACTCAAGGTCATCTAGATTTCCTCCTGTGTTATCTTCTGGGAATTTCATAGTTTAGCATTCTATATTTGGGTCCATGATACATTTTGAGTTAATTTTTATCGGGGGTATAAGTTCTGTGTCTAGTTTACTTTTTTTTTTTTTTTTTGCATGTGGATATCCAGTTGTTCCAATATCTTTTATTTAAAAGACTATCTTTGCTCCATTGTATTGCCTTTTTTCCTTTGAGAAATCAGTTGACTATATTTACATAGACCTATTTGGGGGTTCTCTTTTCTGTCCATGGATCAGTTTGTTCTTTTGCCAGTACCACACTGTCTTGATTATTGTACCTTTAGAGTAAGTCTTGAAGTCAAGTAGTGTCAGTCTTTCCGACTTTATTCTCCTTCAACATTGAGTTGGCTACTCTGAATCTTTTGCTCTTCACATAAATTTTAGGTTCCATTTCTCTATATCCATAAAATAATTGATATATATTGATTGGGATTGCACTGAATCTATAGACAAAATTGAAAAGAATTGATATCTTGACAATATTGAGTCCTTTTATTCATGAACATGGGATGTCTCTCCATTTATTTATATCTTTGATTTCTTTTATCAGAGTTTTATAGTTTTATAGTATAATTTTATCCATATTTTATTAGACTAACCTAAATATTTCCTTTTGGGGGGTTGGTAACATAACTGGCGATGTGTTTTTAATTGCAAATTCCACTTGTTCATTTGTGGCTTCTGCTTAACTTTTTAAGCAGTTGATGGATGCCTGGAAGTTGACATACATATATATTCAGAAATGTTCTGCCACCTGAGACCTTGGAGGAGGTAAGCTTCATGGTCCAATTTATAGTTAACATTGGGGAAGAGGGGGGAATCTGTTACGCATTTGGTTAATTTCAAATTCTAAGGCTATTTTATGTTATAGTGGAAGGCAGGAACAAAAAAGGAAAACAAAGTTCACATGAACAGCCAAGTCCTCCAAGAGTCCACTCAGAGCAGAAAGTGAAAAAGAATGCTGTCTTTCAGAATATTACTGGGTGTAAAATTTTTTAAGAGAAAAAAAAAAGATCACCTTTCCCTTTAGCACAGTCACTTTATGATATCATATTTCAAATATGCAGAACATAGTGTTTTTTTCTTATTTTAGAGTTTAGAAGAGGAAATTCCTATTTATTTTGTGGTAATGGGAATTGACCCCGGGGCTGCCCTACCACTGAGCTACATCCTGAGCCCTTTTAATTTTTTATTTTGAGACAGGGTAAAAAGTTGCCTAGGCTGGCCTCAAACTTGCAATCCTCCTGCCTCCCAAGTAGCTAGGATCAGAGACATGTACCCTGAAGAAATGACTATTTGTAATGAGAATATAAAAGGGAAGGTTCTAGGGGGAATGGGTACCATACCTCCTGGTACACAGTAGTATGTGGTAATTGTTAAATAAGCAAATACAACTTAGAAAGGTGGAAGTGGGTGGCAGGGAAGATTATTAGGGCTCTATAATTATGTAGAAGAAAGGGGAAAAATGAGGAAGATCACTGGGGACCTAATTGGGGGTTTCTGTAAGAATTGGAGATCACGTTGGAAAGATAGATTGGGCAGCTTCAAATACCGGACTAAGTAGTAAATTTTATTCTACAGAAATTGTGGGAGCCATTACAGATGTTTGTGTCAGGACTACAGTGAGTGGGTTTTAGGAAAGTTAACCTATTGGTGGCAGGCAGTGTGGTTAGGGAAAGAAACAGGAAAGTAGACTAATTGTGGTACCATGCAGTCCGTTTCTGTGGTGATGCTAATTTGCCAGAGAAAGTGGAAAGAAGAAATTATTTCAAGGAACTATAAAGTGACAAGTTTCAAAGTAATTGAACATGGGTACGAGTAGTGAGGTAGCTTGGATTTTAGGCTTTGACAACATTAGGAAAGGAAAAAAATAACTCCTCCTTATTTAGATATGCAAAATTTAAGAGATTGGCAGAACCAAGTGTCTGTCATATACTTGGAAATGAGAACTACAGCTCAGAGGGGGAATAAGAAGAGTTGTCACTGTCATCTACTTAGACGAACTTATGTTGAGGACTTTAATCCTTGGCTTATTGTTTCCTTTACTTACTGTTCAAAGGCCTGTTGAAATACTTAATGTGGAACTTATACATTGACTTTATGAAAGGTTCAAATACATGCAAAAAACAAAAGGTAATCTGAAAATATGTTGGTAGTCTCCAGATTGTTGAAAAATCTCCAGAAAATATTCTTTTCTTATTAAATAAGAATTTTAATAATTATTATACATTAAAATAATGTCTTATTTTAAAAAGTAAAACCTTAAAAAAAAAGATATAAAGCCTTTCCAAAGACTAAGCACACCTACCATATCAGAAAGAATGTGTGCATAAAAGCTAGATCTTCTTTTTAGAACTTTTAGAATAGTAAAGGTAAATTATAACATTTAAAAATAGGTATAGCAAGACATGATGACACCTAGTCCAAGCTAATCAGGAGGCTGAGGCAAAGGGATCATTTGAGCTCAGCAACTGAAGGCCAGCCTGAGCAACATAGCAAGACCATGTCTCAAAAATGTTAACTAAAAACAAAACAGGTTTCATGGCATGCTTTCCAAAAATTGCAGATAATTTCATTTGGACTTAAAAAATTTTCTTTTCTTTTAGTTGGGGAAAAACTATTGTAAAAACATTCCAGGTGGATTATGTCAAGATTTCACAATTAGAATATTAAGTTATCCAGCTAAAATAATGTTATTAACACACTAGTAATTTTAAAATAAAAAGACGTCTTCCATCTCTTTATAAACATCGTAATTATCAAACTATTTTCATTATGGAGAAATTACACTATTGGATATTGAAATTTTTTTTCTTCTGAGGCAGAAAATTTACAAAGAAAATTGTTATTTGCCATGAAACTAGTTAATATTTAAAAATGGACTAGGGAAGAGAAATTTTATTATTATTTAGTATTTCTCATATTGAATCAGAGGAATTTATTATAACCACTATTTCAGAACCCTAATAGATTTCAGTAAACCACAGGTTTCTATCTTGGTTCTCTGATATTTCCCATGTATAGTACTAACTTGACTATAACTGCACATGTTGGGGATATGAGTCTGTGCTCAGAGTAATCAGGCCACGTCTCTTTGAAAGGTTCTGTCTAGAAAAGATTCTCCCTCACTGGTTCCACTACTCAAGAGCTTTATCAGGAGCAGAAGCAGTCAATGCCTTGAGGCCTTTCTATTTTGCAGTCCACCCAGATTTCTTTGGACAGCATCCCCGAGAAAGGGTAAATCTTTATTTTTTAACCTGTTGTCTCTATTTGTTTATCTCTGACATTATATAATATAGAGAGTTCTGTAAATTTGGATTATTCTGTCATGGTGATATAATTAGTGCTTTGATCAAATTTGAAATATAGAAACTTGAAAATTAGTAAATTTTCAAATAAAATTAATAAAAAGTAAATACTGGAAATTGGAAATATAATGATTGTTTTTTATGAAAATTGTCATTGTTCTTATACAGGCCATAAAGTTTCCATGTAAACTTTGGAGTATTAGTAGTCATATTTTCTTTTTTAAAATTTTTATTTATTTTATTATTATTATTATTATTATTATTATTATTATTGGTACCAAGGATTGAACTCAGAGGCACTAGAACACTGAGCCACATCCTCAGCTCTAAATATTTTATTTAGAGACAGGGTCTCACTGAGTTGCTTACAGCCTTGCTTTTGCTGAGGCTGGCTTTGAACTCACGATCCTCCTGCCTCAGCCTCCCAAGCCACTGGGATTACAGGCATGCGCCACCACGCCGGCATAGTAGTCATATTTTCTGTACCAGTTCTTGGATTAAAATTGAGGATCTGAAATAAAACTTAAACCTCTATCATCATAGTCAGTCCTGTTTTTAAGGATGTTTCAAGGAATATTTTGCAATGCCCTAGTAATTTTGCTTTAGGATTGCCTTCTTACAATTTCAGTTACTGTGTACAAATGGATAAGGAAAAAAACATGATAAACTTAGGACAGTCAATATTTTTAACATTAGATAATAATAGAATTACAAAGCCAAATGCTTTGGAATTATTTTATTGGTTCCTTTCATCTTCATCAATATCAGTACCTGATTTAACTTGAAAAGGAACTTAAACTCTTGAAAATTAGTACTTTTTTTTGTCCTTTGCTATCTACAGTCAAAAATATACCAATTTTACTTATTTGCTCTAGGAAGATAATCCTTATTGATATTTCCAACATATGTTGACTACACAAAGTCACAAACTTTCAAAGTAATTATTAAATTGATTCAACAGAAAGTTATCTGTTACCTTCGGGAATTGTTAATAATTTAAAGTTTTTAAACCTGGAATAAAAAAAAATGAACCTATTAATGTTTGAGTGTTTTCCCTTACCTAAAATGTCTTTAAATCACAGCCTCTGTGTGCTGTAAAGGATTAACTCAGTGAACTTGGGTTGCTTAAGCCCTGCACACTGCAAAGACCTGGCTTCAGTGCTGGGAGATGAACCTTGAGCCTTTGGAATGTCCTGCCTGATGAGAATGAACTATAGGATAAGACCATCTAACAGGAACTGTCAGCCATGCCACATAGTTTATGCCAACAGTGTGATTCATGGTAAATACATCTTTTCCTCATGTAAGGCCCTGGGTCACATTATCAATTTGACTGCTGGGGTCTGCTAAAGACTGGAAAACTAAAGTTAGTAACATGGATACTACATAACTATATGACTGGCCTCCAGTTAAACCCTGGATACCAAGGCTTGAATGAGATTCCCTAACGGGCAGCACTTCTCATTTTTCCTGTGCATCACTGCTGGGGGACTAAGCATTGTCCGTAAATCTCCACTGAGAAAAAACATCTGGGAACTTGTCCTTGGCCTCTCCTGGACTATGCTCTATGTGCCTTTCCCCTGGCTGATTTTAATTTGCCATCCTTCTGCTGTAATAACTGTAGTTGTGAACATAACTGCTCTTCTGAGTTCTGCAAATCCTTCTAGCAAATCACTGAATCGCAGTCTGATCTAGGGTACCCTGACAATATACCTGGAGTTTAATTGCTCTTCTGACTTTACATTCTTACTCTTTTGCCTTGTATTTTTGAGTGCCTTCCCTGTGCAATCCTTTGCATAAGCTGCTCCCTCTGCCTGGGACATCCTTCCCCAGGGTATCCCTGATACGCTTGCCCTCTACCTTCTCACTGAAACATCACCTTTCAGTAAGGCTCTCCCAGGCTATTTAAAATTACTACCCCACATTGCCTCCTGCAGTCCTTTTCCTCCTTACACTGCAGTGCTTTTTCTGTTTTTAGTTTTTTCTTTTCCAGGTATCCTATGTCCTTATTTATTGGTTTTTTATTTCCCCTACCCTTACTGAAATGCAGGCTTGATGCAGGAACTTGTTCTTACATACTCATCCAGTCTTCCCTTTTACAGGAAGCAGACCCAAGTCCCATTTGGTCATAGCATCAGGCTCAAGGTCCAGGATCTCACACTGATGCAGAGTTGTTGTTTTAAATCCTCGTTAACTAATCTTAAAATATGTAAAACATTTATAAATTTGAAAGCTTTAAATATAAAGCTCACTGAGAAGTCTCGTTTCCATTCTTATCTACTTCATTCCATTTCTCTTCACTTCCTATAGATAATCATTTTTGTTAATTTTAATGTTATTCTTACTTTGTTTCTTTTTTTTAATCTTTTAGTTGTTGATAGACTTTTATTTTATTTACTTATATGTGGTGCTGAGAATTGAACCCAGTGCCTCACACATGCCAGGCAAGTGCGCTACCACTGAGCCACAGCCCCAGCCCCTATTCTTCCTTTGTTTTTTGACAAAAATAGAAACATGTATCAAAAATAATTTGGAAGATTTCAACACACTAGCAAAAATTGTACCTGACTTATGGACTCTCATAGCTAAGAACATCATATTATAATAAATTCAACATATGAAAATAAACAATGATTACTTCTAATTTCCAATCACACTGTGTGCCTGAGAGGAGGCTTAGAGTAACAAGAAGCATGATTATTGATGCCATTCTTCTATAGAGCTGTTCCTTCACTAAAGCGCATTTCTTCTTTTCACATGACAGTATATGCTGGAAATCACTCCATAGCAGTTCATAGATATCTTCTACATCAACTTTGTCTTCGTCTTGATTCCCTAGTACTTCATTGATAAGAGCTCTATAGGGCTGGGAATGTGGCTTAGTGGTAGAGCACTTGCCCAGCATGTTCAAGTGTCTGGATTCAATCCCCATTGCACGAAGAAAAAGGAAAATCCCAATTTTTTAAACTAGATTATTAAATACCCTCAATAGTGTTTAAAAGGTTAGATACAGTTTCTCTTGTGTCCTTTATCTATTTTGTCTTAAATGCTATTCATACTTTTTTCCAGGAAGTCAATGAAAATTCTCTTAARAGATTAAGTGTCTACTTAGAAAACCTCCAGAAACCAGGCTTCAAGTCTTTGAAACCAACTCCACTTACATTTTATGTAAGAGAAACAGACCAGAACCCCTCTGATGGCCAGGAACCCTTTAGTTCTCCCGGTACGTGGTCTTATTTCTAGTGTGTCCCTTGCAAACTGCATGCTACATATATTCATTAATTTTGACCTTGCTAAGGAATACCTTTGGATTGAAGCCTTGGTCATTGAAAAATAGTATCACTTAATTCATTGTTTTTCTAGAGTTAGATTCTATTCCTAACTGCATGTCTTTGGATAAGCCATTTTTTGTGTTGTTTTGTTTTGTTTTTTAACTGTCTTGTCCGTAAAACTGAAGTACCTGTTTGTCTCCTTATTTCAGTGTTGTCTTAAGTGTTAAGCATGTCTATGACAATTTATACTTCTAAAAACTATAGTTTGTATTCTCTCATTTAGTGCCAACAGTACCTAAGAGGTTGATAGTATTTGCCCAGTTGTAACAGGAATGTTCAGTGACTTTCCCAAGACCCTAGAGATAGACTGTGACCTTGAATCCAGGTCTCTGAACTCCCACCTCATGCTGTTTTGAAAATCTAACCAACTGTAACACAGCCTTTTTCCCAGTACTTTTTGTCAAGGTTTTAGTTATGATCAGTAATTCTTCATTGAGGACAAATGTTTTGGTAGGTAAAAAGCTTTGAAGGCCTATCTTTTATCGTGTGTGTGTGTGTGTGTGTGTGTGTGTGTGTGTGTGTGTGGAGAGAGAGAGAGAGAGAGAGAGAGAGAGATCTCCTTTGGCAATCCTTGAGGGAGTAACCTTATTTTTAGAATAAACTTAAAACCATTTGAAGATTTACTAAGAGCTTTTTGTGAGTAAAGGCTAAAACAATTAGAAAATGCATTATAATTTTTTTAAACAAACTATTATTTGTTTTGGGAACAGAATTTGGGAAGTCTTTTGAGACCTAGAATCTGTGTCTAACTCTACCAGTGATGAGCTGTGTGACTTTAACTTAACTTTGGGGTCTTCATTGATCAAGGTGAAGACCCCAGAGTGCTGTGTAGAGACCACTGGAGATCCCTCACTTCTGCTTAATGTTCAGGAGGCGCTCAGGACCTAGGGTGTAAAGGGAAGGGCTCCATCTAAAGATTGCCTGAGGAGAGTCTCAATGCTGATGATGGCTTCACACCTGGCCTTTTCAGGGACCAGAATTTCATGCTATATTTTCTCCAGTCTTTTCCTCTCCTATGGGAGATAAGAATCACAAATTCCTTTTCTTGACAGTTCTCCATCTACCTCTGATTTAGAGTTTTACTTAAAATCACCCCTTGTTTGTCATTATCCAGAGGAAAAAAGTCAACTCATAGACCTTTTTTAAAGAAACAGCTGTGTTGAAGAATGCTGTAAATAATAATAAATAGTAACTGTATCATTTTAAGTGATACAATTCCCTTTGAAAGTGTAAATAATCATTATTTGTTTAAACCATTGTAAATATGCCCTTCTTAGCTAGGAGAGTCACGTGAGACATATTGTTTTCTAGTTTCAGACCAAGTGTTCATAGTGTTACTTCATGGATAGTGTTTTTATTATTAAACTTCAAGATTAGTCTAGGAATTTTCCAGGCTCAATAGCGCAAATCTTTAATCCCAGCTGCTTGGGAGGCTGAGGCAGGAGAATCAAAAGTGTGAGGCAAGCCTCAGCAACTTAGCAATACCCTATTTCAAAATGAAAAAAAAAAAGGGCTGAGATATAACTCAGCAGTAGATCAACCTAGGTTCAGTCCCCAGTACCTTAAAAAAAAAAAAAAAAAAAGGCTAGGAATTGAAGAAATATCATACTAATAACATCAGTATTCTTAGGTTTCTCCAAGAAAACAGATGAAATTAATAGAGGCAAATTATGCCTTTTACAGTTCTTAAAATAGTATCTCCAGTCTATTTGTATGTATCTAGGAGAGTCACTCTGAGGTCTACAACTACTACTTGCCACTATCACCACTAGCTTAAATATTGAATATATATGTAGTTAAAGAATAAGCTGAATTTGAAAGCTTAGAATGAAACTTAGCTCCACACAGCAAATTAAGGGCAAAGCTGATACTAGAGCTAATGTTCCCTTATTTCTAGCCCAGTGGTTTGATTTATAAACCATACTGTCTATTGATGATTCTTTAAAATATTGCTAGTACTCATTTTTTGCCTTTGCCTTTATGACACAGATTGGCACTTTAACAAAGCCTTTAAACATATTTTTCTTTAACATTTTTATCCAATTGTAAAATTAAAATCAATTTTTTTTCTTAGAATACTAAAAATCATTAATCAGCCTTTCATTGGTAATTAAGATGTTAGTAAGATAAAACATTTACTCTTGTTTTTTTATCACAGAAATTTTAAGAACCATTTTATATTATTAAGACATTGAAATTTTTAAAGGCCTAGTCATTTCTTCAGTTCCATATTTTCTTGATTGCCCATGAGAAAATAAGGTTTATTGTTAAAATAAGTTTTAAGAACTTTCTGTGAATTAATGCTAAAACAAATCACTGTGGCCAGCTCTGGCTATATAAAGATAAAAAAAATCTTCTACTTTCAGTTAAAGATTGTTTTCAACTATTTATTAAACAAAACTAAGTTATTGAAAAACATTAAGAATGAGAGAAAACGTAACATAAATGACCAAAAGACAAAGTTAATATATAAAGAGTTCTTACAAATCAAAAAGAGAACACAGCAGATCATCATTAAAAAAAAAAAATGGGCAAAGTCAATGAAGAACAGCTCAGGAAATAATCCATATATATAGACAATAAAAATGGTTAGCCTCCCATGTACATATATTATATCAAAATACATTCTGCCATGTATAACTAAAAAGAACAAATAAAAATTTTAAAAATGCTTAGCCTCAGTATTCAGGTATAATTTGAAATAATTAGGTACTATTTGCTACCCAAAGACATGTGCACTCTGATATAGGCAATCCTTAGTATATAGCAGTCCTTTCATTGGGTTAAATAATAAATTGATAAATTAAGAGAGAAACAAATTTCTTCCTTGACTTAGCTATTTTAAGGAAAAACTATTTCTTCCTCACCTATAATGCAGGATATGGATTTTCTTATCCTCCTTCACTAACTGAAGAAACTCTCTTTCCTGTAGCATTCACTTCATCATCAAATGAATTAGGTTAAAAATCTCTCAGTTTGCACATTCTGTATTTTATAAGTCTGTGGCAAACAGAAGATGTATCTCTGAGAATGATTTCAATTTTGGTATCATCAGTTGCAAAGACAAGAAAACACATTTCAGTCTAGTATGGAATGGTGAAAAACTGAAATCAACTTATAAGTCCATCACTATTGGAAATCATTAAATAAATTATACTATAAGTCATGAAGTGGACTAGTATGTAGCTGCTAAAAAGAATGAAGCTGATTTATACATAGAGATGTGAAAGAGTCACCAACATTAAGTGGCAAAGGCAATTTCAAAATAACATATCCAGATTGACACCATTTATATATTAAAAATGAACTATGCAAACCATGTAAGCACATATGCATGTGTGAGTGTGTGTGTGTGTGTATGTGTGTGTGTAATACACAAGCACATAGAAAAGGTTAGACCAACACTGTCCAAGAAAACTCTGCAATGAGGGAAATAGCCTGTGTAGCTCTTGAGCACTTCCAAGGTAGCGAGTGTTGATCAAGGAAGAAATCAGCGTAATGGATTTCCTGTTGACGATTTAACAATTTAGGTTTCCAAACTTTGCCCAACATCAAAATCAGACTGTAGAAGCACTAACTTTTTTAAAAAAATATATTTATTTATTTATTTATTAGGTGTAGATGGACACAACATAATGCCTTTATTTTTATGTGGTGCTGAGGATCGAACCCGGGTCCCACCCAAAGAACTAACTTTTAAGCAATTAGATCTTTTTTTTTTTTTTTTTTTTTTTTTTTTTTTTCTTGCAATACTGGGGCTGGAACCCAGGGCTTTGCACATGGTTAGGCAAATGCTGTATGACTAAGCTGCATACCTAGCCCAACAATTAGGTAATTTTTAATCACTACTAAAAGTATTATGTTACTAGCTAGTTGGGTGGGCAAGTAAATGGACAAGAAAATTCAAGATGGGTTTCTGTAACCACAGACTAGACAACCTACCCTCCTCATCTGAGCCACTGTAACACTGCAGGAGCTCACATGCTCACTCTCTGTATTGGACTTTGGGGAGACCTGCTCATAGAGCAGCTTTCCTATCTGTTCAGAGACCACATTCATGGGCAGCATTGACGATAATTTGAACCCCTTCTTGGGTGGGAATGGGGTTAGTCACTGAACTAGAACGCAGCTGATGTTAAAGCAATTCGTGAAGGTAAAAATAGCATTGTATAGTTTTGGAGAGAGGCCAGCAATTTCCCATTCACAGATGAATTTTAATCAGTAATGGAATGTTTTGAAAGATTTTGATTTTATAAATGTTGCATGGAAAGATTTTTAAGCTACAGCAAATAATCATCTGTATTAATTGTTTGGGGGAATTATATTCTCTAGGATTTCGAGCAGTCAAATTTACTTTGCACACCAGAGATCTTCTAAGCACAGTATTATATATTCTCAACTCCTGCAGTTTATCTGTTGAACATATCCAAAGCATGAACACTAATGTGCATTCCCAGCCTCTCAAAGAAACTAAAAGGATGTCTGACAGGCCCATCAAATGGGACAAGTCTTACTACTCCTTTACTGGATTCAAGGACCCTGAAGAAGACCTTGAACAAGTCTCGAGAATAGAAACAACCCTAAAGTATGTAAAAGTTTGTATTTAACTAAACTGCATTTGTAGTTCATGTTTAAAATTCAAGTCTAATTTTCCAGGAAAACTAATCCTATCAATATCATTACTCCAGTAACCATTATGAAAAAGATATATTTATTTCTTAACATTGCCAAAATATTTCCAACTGTTTTTTGTTTTTTTAAGTCTTTTGATTCTAAATATATGTAAGAGATTATTTTAAGTTTTTGAAATTCTGTTCCAATTTGCACCTAGTATATGGAATAGGACTGTATCTAAGACTGTGGAAGATTTTCAAGCTTCTTTACATATTGAGCAGCATTTCTTTTTTCTTTTTTTTTTTTTTTTGAGAGTTCACTAGTGGTGTACTTTAGTATAATAATCCATAACACTGAAAAAATACAAGGAGGGGCCAAGGTTGTGGCTTAGTGGTAGAGTGCTTACTTAGCATACATGAAGCACTGGGTTCGATCCCTGGCACCACATAAAAATAAAAACAAATAAAATAAAGTATTGTGTCCATCTACAACTAAGAAGTATATTCAAAAAAATACAGTGAAGCATTATAAAATGTCATCTTGAATAGATTACTTGCCAAACTAATGTTTTTAATTATGAAAAACAGATACAAAATATTTCTCTGTCTTTTGGCGTGTCTTGTTTGCTAAACCACCATTAATGTTTTTTGAGAAAGTCATTTTTAGACTCCATAAGGACCCATCACATTCCTTTTCTATGGCTGTATCTAAAGCATCCAGTCCTTTACCAAGGGATTCTGGCTTGCTGCAGTTTAGGAAATGAGCCTTAACTATCCAGTGGCTTATTATCTGCTTCATGGGGATTATCTATACTAACTCTAGAATTCCTCACTTGTTCTCTATCTAGATTCCAAAATCCAGTCCAGAAAGGGGGACAAATGTGCATCTGAGGGCACATGTTTGTGTACCTGTGTAAGAGTCCAGCCATGGTATTTGTTCATATGTGTTATTACTAATGGATAAATCACCTCCCTAAACCTAGAGTTTTTAAAATACAATTTTTTTTAGTTATAGATAAACACAATACCTTTATTTATTTTATGTGGTGCTGAGGATCAAACCCAGTACCTCAAACATTTGAGGCAAGTGCTCTACCACTGAGCCATAACTCCAGCCCTAAACCTAGATTTTAATTGTTCAAATTCTATTCTGTAAACAAAACCGAAATGAAAACATGAGATTGGGAATGATAATTTTAGTCCAGAATTAATGAGATAGTAAGAAGGGTAAAAGTGAAGAGCATCAGGGTGGGATAAAAGTTGATATACTGGAAATTTGATTTGGAAAAACAGAGGGAAGGATGAAGGGCAGCTGCCCTAGAGACTGTATTGGGAATTGAAATGATTGCCATGAGCAGGGGATGACAGGGATCTGCTCAGCCTTGGATGTCTGAGATACAAGTCCAACTTCTTACCCTCTGAGGATGTTGCTCTGCTTACCTATGTGCTGAGCCCAAAAAAAAGGGTGGGGAGGGGGGCCTGGGAAATGTCTGGCCTAAAGGGTATAGAAAGGAAATGAGATTGGATAAGATAAGACACAAATGACAGTTGAAGGGGCTTAAGTGTCAGAACTTCAAAGAAGCAGTTAGTCTGTGGCTCAGTTGAGTGAGCTAGAGGTTATGTAGCCATTATGAAAAGACTGTCCCCAAGTGCCCAGAACCAAGAGCTAGTTAGCTGGCAAAACAATGGAGAAAAAGATTAAAACTATAAAATGGAAGTTCAACAAGATAAGTGGCATTCATCAGACTTTCTTGTCTACTCAGAGTCTTTATCATTTCTCTTTTTAAACATTCCTCTAATAAAAATCTTTAGTCTTTAATAAATGCAGTAGACTTTGTTTTATTATACTGATAGGCTCTTAAGAGTAATGTTTTCGGGCTGGGGATGTGGCTCAAGCGGTAGCGTGCTCGCCTGGCATGCGTGCGGCCCGGGTTCGATCCTCAGCACCACATACCAACAAAGATGTTGTGTCTGCCAAGAACTAGAAAATAAATATTAAAAAAAAAAAAAAGAGTAATGTTTTCAGGCTGGGGTTATGGTTCAGCAGTAGAGCACTCCCCTCGAATGTGCAAGGCCCTGGGTTCGATCCTCAGCACACATAAAAATAAATAAAATAAAGTTATCGTGTACAATTACAAAAAAATATATATATATTTTAAAAAGAGTAAGAAACATGTTTTAATCATCTCTTTGTGAACTTATTTACTCATACATCCATTTTATTGACCTGTATTAACGAATTTAAAGAGCCAGGTGTGGTGGTGTACTCCTGTAATCCCAGCAGCTCAGGAGGCTGAGACGAGGAAGATCGAGAGTTCAAAGCCAGCCTTAGCAACAGCGAGGCACTAAGCAACTCAGTGAGACCCTGTCTCTAAATAAAATACAAAATAAGGCTGGGGATGTGGCTTAGTGTTTCAGGGTCCCTGAGTTCAATCCCTGGTACCAACAAAAAAAGAACTTAAAGAATTAATATGAATGTGTTGGAGGACTCACAGTTTAATAATATGGAAACATAAAGTAGCTTAATAAAGATGGTAGCAATGGAAGTATCTTATTAATGAATGTAGATGGTCATTTTTCTTATAGTGCCCTGTTAATTTCATTAATATTCACTAAAAGATAACTGCTGATTTTAGCAAGAGACACATGTCATAGGTCTGAGTTTAGATGAATTAGTTGTGATACTATGATCTCCTCCAAGGTATACTTGATTTTAAATTCAAGGTCTTTTTTTGACAGTTATCAACACAGACTCAAAAAATTCATTTTTGTCTCCTCATCTACCCTTAAAAAGGGTAGCAACATTGTTTTAGAAATTAGCCAGGGAAAATTTAACTCTCCAATTTATTGATCATTATTTTTCAATCCAGTTGTCAATAGCTGATTATCTTGACAGACATTGATGTAAATATATTATTAGCCAGATAGAATCTTTGTTTTCTTAGCTTCAAAAGTGAAATTAATAATGACATAGAATTATAATGGATAGTTGTATTCAGTTTTTAATGCTTATTTTAGGGGCCTTAGATTATATTTCTTGAGCATTATTATCTTTGTAACCTGAACTGGATCATCACACCTCACGTGGTTTGAATTTAGCTTTTAAAAAGTGTAATTTTAGAGTAGAGGATCCTAGCAGGGTACAATGAGAGAGAACAGAACTGTGCAGAACAAAGGCAAGAAAAGGAATTCTCTCTTGGGGCCCTCAAAGTGAACTGTAGTGTAGACTAAATGCCTTCACCATCATGCCTTAGAGTGCTGATGGTGAAGTTACACCTGTATTAATTTGAAGGATTTCATATCTCTTATTTCCCTAACTCTGTTAGTTATCTTCGCATCACTATGACAAAATACCTGAGATAAACAACTTATAAGGAGGAAAGGTTTATTTTGGGTCATAGTGTCAGAGATTTTGGTACACGGCTGATTGGCCCTCTTGCTTTAGGCCTGTGGCAGCCCAGTATGTCATGAAGGAGCATGTAATAAGGAGGTCTGGTTCACCTTCTTGCAACCAGAAGCCAAAAAATAGAAAAGGAAGGGGCTGGCATACCAATGTCCCCTTCAAGGGCACATCCCCAATGATTTAACTTTCTCCTACTTGGCTTCACCTCCAGAAAGTTCCATTACCTCCTGATAGCACCATAGGCTAGACACCAAGCCTTCAACATGTGAGCAGTTGGGGGCATTCAAGATCCAAAGTACAACACCCATTTTTTTTCCACAGAAAAGTTATTGTTTTCCCCTTTAATTAGGTTTTTTGTTGTTGTTGTTGTTGTTTGTTTTTTGAGGAGATACTTAGGACTATGTAAATATCCTTTTATTTATCAGATATTTATTTACCCTCTAACTCTAATTCACTGACAATTCTTGCCTGAATCACATTGCTTTCCTGGTTGCCAAATGTTTCCTTTTAACTGATTCCTGTGTTCCCAGCATTCCTTGAGTACTCCATTTCATTCTAGTTCATCAAGATGTTCCAAGCTCATCTGAACTGTCTCTGCCCCACTGTTTGGTTCAGCCATTTTTCTAAGAAGCTTTGGTTCTTTTTAGTAGGGAGTGTTTATTAGAAACCAGCATCTATGTGCTCCACATACTTAATTGCTATTGATCTTCTGTGGCCAGAGCTAGGAAACACATATCTTCATCTTTGTGAATTAAAATACATATTTATCTCCAAAATAGTTAAAATTTGTTAATAAAAATTGTTAACTAGACCAGTTGATTTTTATATATTAATAGGAAGAATTCTAGAGTCATGAATGCATAATTAAAAGATTATATTTCAATATACTTTTTTTTTTTTTTGGCGGAACTGGGGATGGAACCCAGGGCCTCGTGCATACTAGGTGAGCGCTCTCCCATTGAGCTACACCCCCAGCCCTTCAACCTACATTTTAAGACATTTTGATCCCCAAACCAAACATGGTATGTCATTTGATACTTCATTCATTATGCTTTCTCTTACATGATTTAAAGTAAACTGAATAACATGTATTAATAAGTGAAGGAAGGTTGAAAAATGTAACGTAATACCTAATAATAGTGATATAAATTAAGATATTTTTATTTAATTTCTTATTTATCACATACCATTCAAAAGTAACAAAATGTTTGCTAATATTCTTAAAGGAATGATCATTGACTGCTGTTCCAAATTCATGAATCAATTTTAAACACCTTTTCCTAGAGGATGAGGTCCCACTTCTTAATCCTGGCATGCAAGAGCCTCTGTGGTCTGCTTCCTCCTGCCCTACCTCTTCAGTCTCATCTCCTGACCTTATGCGGGTGTCATATAATCTGAGCATATTGATTTATCTTATAGGTCCTATGTACTTGCATGATTGGCATGCCCTCCCCTCTTAGTTATCTACCTAGGAAAATCAAGATACATGTCTTAGGTTCCAGATCACACATCACCTGTTCTACAGAACCTTCCAGGGAGAATTAATTGTTGCTTCCTCTCTTCTGATAGTATTCTATTTTCTCCTATTCTGTTTTTATTGTTTCTCTCTATTTTTCCTTATTAGGTATGTCTTCCTTTACAGCAGGGACTTTATTTCTTTTTATCCACAACTCAATGCAATATATATTGAGAATAAATGTTTGATGAATACATAATGATTTGTTTGATTCTAAACTGAATACTTTTCTAAATGATTTAGATCACAACATCATAAACCTTTAAAGTGACTATGAAGGAAAGTTTAAAGGTTTTTGCCCGTGTTTTTGAGATGGACATGTGAATTCTGCAGCATGATTTTATTATGTGACTTTCACTGACATATTCCACAAGGGTTTCAGGTGCCCCCTTGATGATGAGCTCCATAACATGTCTGTTTGTTCTTTGGATATATTTCCCCCCACTCTTCTGGAGTTTTCTCTTGCACACCTATGCCTAGATCGCAACCCACCACTATATCTAGGACTCTGAAACCTTCCTTCAGCCTGTAGTCACCTTGCCATTCTATCCCCGCCCACACATCTGCAACAGCTCTTCAGCCCCCAGGGCTCTACCCAGGTCTTTTCATTTCTCCAGACTTCCCTTGGGGAGCCAGAGTCCCTGAGCACCAGCAAAAACATCCATGTCATGATGCTCAGAGCACCCAGTAAGAGACAGTCTCCATTAGGCAGTGCTGCTTTCTGGAAAGCCACATAGCCTCTCTTTCCACTCCTTTCTGAAAGCTGTCCCCTGCTAATCCTTAAAGTATTTTTTTTTTATATTTTTTTTCTTATAAGACTATCTAGGGAAATATTCTAAGAAATAAGAATTGGAGAACATCTTTCTACTGAGCCTATTGTATTATATAGCTGATGTAGTTGAAATGAGACTTACACTGGGCATTTAGTTGGATGAAAAGAAATGGAGGTGCAAATGAGCACCAGGTTAGTGAAGAGACCCACCTGGAAGGAGCAGGTATTTTGGGAAACCTTGTGGCCAAAGAACTAAATCTGTAAGGCTGACCAGTGGAAGGATTTGGATAGAGGGATAAGGGAAGATGCACTGAGAACTTGGAGTACTGAAATCCAAGCTTAAAATAAAGGGAGAAATTGAATTCTATAAAGCTACAGTCCACAAACAATTATTTTCAAGTTCCTTCCTCAAGGTGTGGCCACTTCTTAATGTCATTGGTGTCAAACTCTTTGGGTTTGATTTTAACAGCTTATGAGCCCTACTATAATATTGTTTGCTCATGAGCCCTACTATAATATTATTTGCTCACTTGCTGTATAATTATTAGTTCTGCTCTCATGTGTGTGTAGCTGATATAAATGAGGATCTGATATAATACAGTCTCTTTTTTTTTTCTTTTTTTTTATTGTTGGTCGTTCAAAACATTACATAGTTCTTAATACATCATATTTCACAATTTGATTCAAGTGGGTTATGAACTCCCAATTATACCCCRTATACAGATTGCTGWATCACATCAGTTACCCTTCCATTGATTGACAAATTGCCTTTCTAGTGTCTGATGTATTCTCTGTCTGTCCTATTCTCTACTATCCCCCCTCCCCTCCCCTCCCCTCCCCTCCCCTTTTCTCTCTCTACCCCTTCTACTGTAAATCATTTCTTCGATTTGTATATAATACAGTCTCTTGAATGCTGCAGCAAACCTAAATGAAAGATTTAGAATTATCTTTACTTTCTTAAAAATTATCCCATCTCCAGAAATCTAGTGACATTTTTGGTGTGAATTAAATTTATTTTTTTATAGTCTATAAAGGAAATTGTCATAACTAGAATGTTACTTGGCAGGTGCTGGCAGTCCTCCAGACAGCCTCTCTTAAAAGTAGATATTTCTTAAGAAGAATGACTTGTTAGAAGTAAAGGTTTGACTGAAAACTCAGTGTAACATTGGAGCTGCTTTAAGATGACACATATGTCTTTTAACATTATAGTTAGCATTGCAAAGTGTATGACTCTTTCTTTCTTTCTAGATCCTGGTTAGATAACAATGGGAAAAGTGCTGTTAAAAAGCTGAAGAATAGTTTGCCCCTTAGAAAAGAACTGGATCGTTTAAAAGAGGAGCTGTCCCATCTCTTACAACTCTCAGATATTAGGTAATAAAAAAGAGAACCTAATTTAGAGGTTAAAATACACACAAATCACCTACTAGTAAGACTTCCCAGCTGCTAAAATTTGCATCTTTAATGATGAGTTTGTGAAAAAAAAATGCCCTTTTCCATATATGTGTAATATATAATAAATAAATATATATGTATGTAATTTTTATCATGTATAATTGGTATTTGAGACTTTAAAAAATGGGCAAAAGAGGAAGTGATGGGGCTGGGGTTGTGGCTCAGAGGAAGAGCACTTGCCTAGCATGTGTGAGGCACTGGGTTAGATCCTCGGCACCACATAAAAATAAAATAAGGGTATTATATCCACCTACAACTATAAAATAAAAAGAGGAAGTGGATGTTGTATTCTTAATTTCATGTCATATATAGCACAACTATTTAAGTTTTCATAAACTTGGAAATTATATATAGTAGAAATTTATTATGAAACCAGACTTAATAGCTCTTAGTAAGGAAGGGTCCAGATGATTTTGTCCTGGGACTTCCATTACTAGAGCCCTGGAAGTGTCACTCACTCTCATGCTCAAACAGTTTATTGTTTTCAACCATCATCTTCAGTATTTTTGTCTTTTATTGAACTCAGTGACTATTTGGGTACCATAATGTCACCTTTTTTTGTAGCTTATAAGAAAATTCAGAGCAGAGCTGTTAGACTCACAGCATGTGGGGTGTTTGAGTGTGTGCTTATAGCTGCTCTTTTATCAATCCATCCTGATATGAGGATTGTTCTAACTCCATATTCTGTGTGTTAGTTTTCTGTCACCATAACAAACACCTGAGATAAATCAGCTTACAAAGAGAAAAGGGTTGTTTTCACTCAGTTTTGAAGTTTCCAGTCCATGATTGGTTGGTCTGTTGCTTTTTGACCTGTGGCAAAGCAGCACACCATGATGGGGAGTGTATAGCAGAGCAGAAGTTCTTGCTTCATGGCCAAGAAGCAAAAAAAGAAAGGAAGATGCAGGAGCAGGTTCCACTATTCATCTTAGTGGCCTCAGAGACCTGAAGACCTCCCACTCGGCCCCACACCTGCCAGGCATAATACACATGCCTATGATCCTAGCAATTTGGGAGGCTGAGGCAGAAGGATTGCAAGTTCAAGACCAGCTTCAGCAACTTAGTGAGACCCTGTCTCAAAGTAAAATATCAAAAGGACTGGGGATATGGCTCAGTGGTTAAGCACCCCTGGGTTCAATCCCTGGTACAAAAAAAAAAAAAAAGAGAGATTCTACCACCTCCCAATAGTGCCACAGCTGAGGACTAAGCCTTTAACACATGGGCCTTTTGGGGACATTTAATTTCAAAACTATAGCAGTCTAGTAACATAGACTTTTTTTCCTTAACTTGCATACATTGAGTACATGCTCTATCACAGAGCTCTGCCCTCAGCCCCACCCTGTTATTTTAATATAGAAACAACATAGTGCATTTGCTTATTTTAAATTTGTGGATACCTGAAAATGGTTGTTATATTTTTACCTTCTGGCAAACAATTCATTTTCTATTTGATTGCTTCTTCAAAGATCATCTCATTTGGAAATGTGAGATCAATTATAACTTTATCCCTACTTCAGAAAGAAATTCATGAGCTTTCTCAGGAATGAGTCATTTGGGGTGAGAGTTTGCTCCCCTCAGGGGTTCCAGCTGCTAATGCACCTGTGTCCCTGTTGGCCTAGGTGGCAGAGGAGCTGGGGCATTGCCCACCGCTGCAGCCAGCTGCATAGTTTAGGCCGCCTAGCTCAGCAGAACTTGGAAACGCTTCAGAAAGCAAAAGGTAAACATTTTCTACTTTCTTTTATAGTATCGCTTAGCTGCTATACACATTTGTAGATTATAGTGGAAACTAAGTGACTTTATCAGAGCTGAATTTTAATATCTGATCCTTTGAATAAAGCAGAGACCTAAAATTTAGTCTTTAGGCTTTTCCTGAATTTTATCCCGAGTTTACAACTAAATTTAAGTAATTATTTGCATAGTGCTAAAAGAATGAAGCATCTCTAGACCATTACCAAAAAGTTTGTGTTTTGTCATCAGGATGTACAGTCATATTTACAGACCGTTCTGGCATGAGTGCAGTGGGCCATGTGATGCTGGGAACCATGGATGTCCATCACCATTGGACAAAAGTAAGAAAGAGCTGAAAAGTAAAAAATCATCATTGGGTTGTCATTCCTGTTCTTCCGATTCAAGCAGTACTGTTACATGAATTAACAGAATTTTATTTGTTTTGTCTTTGTTTTTGAAACAGGTTTCATTGTGATGCCCAGGGTGGTCTTGATCTCCTGGGCACAGGTGATCCTCCCACCTTGGTCTCCCAAGTAGCTGGGACTACAGGTGCACACCTCTGCTCTGAACTAACAAAACCTTAAACCATGGCACTAGCTATTTTCCAATGAGATGTTCAGTATTCTGTAGTTCACATACTTAGGAGGATTTTCTGATTTTCAAGGTAGTTTGTGTCTGGTTATATTAAGTGGTCTTTTCTGAAGCCCAGCCCACAAGCCTACATTCTGTTGTTTTATTTTGTTTGTTTTTAACAGATTTATTGAGGTATAACTGACATTCAATAAATTAYACATTTAAAGTATATAAGTGGGGCTGGGGTTGTAGCTCAGCGGTAGAGTGCTYGCCTTGCATGCACGAGAACCTGGGTTCAATCCTCAGCACCACATAAAAATAAATAAGTGAAATAAAGGTATTGTGTCCAACTACAACTAAAAATAAATATTAAAAATAAAAAATAAAAAAAATAAAGTATATAAGTGGGCAAGTATGACAGGTATATATGAGACCAACACCACAAACAAGATGGCCAATGCATCCATTACCTGCAAAGGATGTTCGTGGCCCTCTATAAACCCTCCCCTCCATCCCACCACTCCCTCCCCATTCAACCATTGAGCTGCCTTCTCTCTTAGAGTTTATATAAGTGTAGAGTACTTTTTTCTCTGGTTTCCTTTGCTTACTTATTTTGAGATTCTTCCCATATTGTCACAAATATTTAGAGCTACTCTTTTTCATTTCTGTGTACTGTRCCATACTGTAACTGTATCACTATTTGTGAATCCATTCACCTGTTGCTGGACTTTGGGTTTGGTCTGTTTGGGATTTTACAAATAAAGCTATTATAAGCATAGTGTACAAATATGAGGATATATATATTTTTTTCTCTTGGGTAAATACCTAGAATGGAATGGCTGGATCATCTCATTAAGTACTTTAATTTTTTAAGAAAATGCCTAAAGATATTCATCTTTTTCATTTTATTTTAAATTTTGAATTTAAATATTCTAATGGAATGTGATTCTACTTATGAATTTGATTTGCCTTTCTCTAATGACAAGTGATGGTGAGCATTTTTCATATGTTTATTTGCCATCTGCATGTTTTTTGCCCAAGCAGCTGTTCAAACTACGTATCTGATAAAACTTTGTATCTAAAATACATAAAGAACTTTCAACACCCAGCAGTAAAAACAAGAAACAGCTTGTTTTTAACTAAAGAAATGAAAAGACCAAAGAGGATATACAGATGACAAGCACATAAGAAGATGTTCATTGTTAGCCATTAGGGAAATGCCATCAAAACTTACAGTGATGGGGGGCTGGGGTTGTGGCTCAGTGGTAGAGCACTCACCTAGCATGAATGAGGCACTGGGTTCCATCCTCAGCACCACATAAAAATAAAGGTATTGTGTCCTCCTGCAACTTAAAAAATATATACATTAAAATATATATATATATATATATATGTATGTTTAAAAAAACTTACAGTGAGGATGAGGATGAGGATGAGGATGCAGTGCTAGAGCACTTGCCAGCATGTGGGAGGGCTTGGGTTCAGTCCCCAGCACCACAAAAAAAAAAAAAAAAAAAAAAAAAACTGCAATAGATATCACTGCACACTAGAGTGGCCAAAATGAAAAATAGCATCACCACCAAATGTTAGTAAAGATGGAGAAACCTGGATCATTTAGCCCTGCTGTTGGGAATGCAAAATGATGCAGGCAGTCTGGGAAAAGGACATGGCATTTTCTTATGAAAGTAAATGTGCTCAGCATTTGACCTGGTAATTATACTCTTGGGCAATTATATGAGAGAAAGGAAAAACTATGTTCACAGAAAAACCACATTCATCCACTTTTCCTAAATCCGATTTACCTTTTAAGATTGGTCAAATTAGACTTCCTTGGAAACCATTGCTTGAATGCCTATCAACATGCCCTGATGTGGCACTTAGTTCACTAAATTTGAATCTTTTGTTTCCTTGCACCCCAATTTTGAGGCCCTGGCAAAGGAGCAAGCTCATAATCATATGCTGAAAGTGCCCATTCCACTACTTAACACAGTAGATGTCCAATAATATTTATTGCTTTTAATTTAATTTAGTTAAGAGTAAATTTTAAAGAAAGAGATGTGGAGTTGAAATACATACATATACTTTATTTCTAAAAGTCTTCTTTAGTCACCTAAACTAGTTTAAGATTCCTACCAAGAATGTTTTTATTTGGAACTTATTTCTTTTATTTTTTTTCCTGCATTCTCTTCAACTCCGATCTAAAATCTCTAGACTTACTTACTTGTTTTTAATATAAATATTTCCAGAATTCCGTTAATTTTTTTTCTTCTACTTGACTTTTCTTTTTTAGAAAAATAATTTTCTTCTTAAACATTCTCAATGCCATTTTTTGGGATGCTGAGGTCGAGTTATTATGGTAACATAAAACTAAATATATCTTTCCTTTTCCTTAATCCTATAGCTTTTTGAAAGGTTGCCAAGTTATTTTGACCTACAGAGGAAGCTGATGCTTTTAGAAGATCAAATCAGCTGTCTGCTAGGTGGCATACAGGTCATTTATATCGAAGAATTACAGCCAGTGTTGACACTTGAAGAATATTACTCCCTTCTCAACGTGTTCTATAGTAGACTGTTGAAAAGCCGAGCACCTTTCCACCCTCGGAGTCTCCGTGGCTTGCAAATGATCCTGAACAGGTAAATTCCTGAACCAGGCCAAATGATTGATTTCTTTTTAGGTGGATTGTGTATATAAAGACTTTAGATTATTTTGTATTTCAGAGTGTGGATCTTAGTAATTAAAGAAAAGAATGTCACTACTATGTTAGCAACCCTCTTCTGCACACGACACAAGCCAACATGAGAGTATTGAAGTATTTGGATCTCTAGGACATTCTTTGAATATATTGCCTCATGCTGGGGACAGTCAAACTTCATAGGATTAAATCAGTAACCCACACTGCACATGTGCTCTGCCTGCCCTGCATTGTATACTTAAATGCATTCTTTCTCCATCTCGCACTCTCACCATGAGGCAGTTGCTACTGCTGTTTTACAGAGGACAGACCCAGGGCTCAGTAGTACATGATTAGTCATTGGAGGTTTAAGTCAGTGTTTTTTGTTTTTAAGGTGGATTTTCTTGATGATTCCTTTTCAGTTCTTGGCAGGGGGTGGAAGAGTCTGTGATTTTCCCTATATATATGTTTCATTGCAGTGACAGATATGCTCCAAGTTTGCATGAACTCGGCCATTTTAACATCCCAGTACTCTGTGATCCAGCAAATCTCCAGTGGTTTATTCACACCAGAGTGCAGCAGGCAAGAGAGAACATGAAAAGAAAGGAGGAGTAAGTACTACTAGCTGTCTGTGAAGTCATGGAGTTCCATCTAACTTTTAAAGAATCAGATGTTTGGAATTCACAAATATGGAGCATTAGAACTGTACTAAGGGCCTGGGCTCAGTAGTAGAGCACTTGCCTAGTGTGTGTGAGGCCCTGTGTTCAATCCCCAACACTGAAAAAAAAAAAAAAAAAACAGAATTGAACATCAGAAATTAACCAGTCTGTGGGTATTCCATATTTTTTATTCCACGCACACCTGCAAGAGATTGGATGTGGACTGTTTTATAAGCATAGTAACCTATATTATATAATACATTTTGAGAAGTAGGGTTACACCTGTAATCCCAGTGGCTCATGAGGGTGAGGCAGGAAGATCAAAAGTACAAGACCCTATCTCAAAATAATTTTTTTTAAAAAAAGGGCTGAGGATATAGCTCAGTGGTAAAGCACCCCTAGGTTCAATCCCCAGTGCCAAAAAAAAAAAAAAAAAAAAATTTAAAGCCAGCAACAGAATAACAAGAATATCAAATAGAGATTCTACAGAGGGAAAAGGTAGCAACAAAGGGAGAAAGTAGCCATTACTTAACAGGAATCTTTATTGTTCAAAATTTTTGAAACTACCTGATATAAAGAGAACTTTATGTGCATTTTAGTTACAGTCAGAAGAAATTTTACAATAAAAATTGTTCTAGTTCATAAGCAGGCCTTTTTCTATAGCCAGGAGTTTCCTAATTGAGTGGTAAGATATTGCCCAGTAATGTGTTATGTGTCTGCTGTGAAGAAAGGAGGGTCTGAAGTTCAAAAGACAATTGTTGTAAAGTGCTCCCCGAGGAAGTTTGCCAAGTATTTTGTTCATACAATCATTCAGCCATCATTTATTGTGACTGTTGTGTGCCTGGAACTGACAGGTGCCATGGTCAGATGAAGACCTGTCCTTTGTCCTCCCAGAATTCATTTTCTGCGGGAGATTTAACAGCTGAAATATGGCAGTGGGAGCCAGACCACAGGGTTGAGCTGAGCAGGAAGAGCCAAAGCTAAGGCTCTAGCAGATGAGGATAAAGGGAAGTCCAGGGCAGAGAGCAGGCAGGAGACTGAGGAGGCCAACTGTGCACATGTTTGGGAGGGGCGGCTCCAGGAGAGACCAGGAGGACAGAGATATGGAGCCTGGCAGGGAGAGGAGCAGGGTGGTTAGCTGACGGTGCAGGGGGGAGGGGGGGGAGCAGGCTCCACACGATGCCTCTGTCCAAAGCTAGGCTCATGAGATGAAGAGAAAGGATGGCAGCTAAGAACATGAAACTGTCCCTTTAACAGGAGATAAGGGACTCATTTTATGAATAAAATAAATGAAGAAACTGCATCTCTGTTTTGTTTGTGGGATTGGTGACAACTCACTCAGATCTTACATGAAAATCCTGCTTCCCGAGTGGTGTCGAGCATTTGTGTTTGTGGTACTGCTCTGCTGAACTGTCCCTCTACTCAAACGCTGGGAAGCAGTTCTAGCCAGCCTTCCCCAACCACCCATCTTTGTGTTTGCTCCTGAACTGCCAGTTGCTCAGGCAAATGAAAGCCCGGGAGTCCTTGAGATTCCTCCCCATCCCCAACTTCCCAGCCCACTTCAGAGTATATCCGGATTCCTACCAAGTCTCACTCCTTCATCCCACACCTGGACCAGGGCTGCATTATTGTGTGGTGACCTCCTACCCAGTCATCAAGCTTCCACAATCTCCTCCCCCACCCCAGTCCATTCTTATCCTCTAAGTGAACCTGGGGAAGGGTCCTCCTGGGCTGGTGCCTGCAGCCAAGCCCAGCTTCTAGGACTCTGCCTCACTAATTTCTCATCAGCCCTAGCCTCATTAGCCCTGTCTTCTTCCCTCGCCTTCCCTGGCTCCCCAGGCGCTTCCCTCCCTGGCCCTTGGCCATTCCCAGGAGTCTTCTTCGCCTCCCTCTGCCCCTGCTCACATTCACTTTCTTGGGAGGCCTTTCCTAAGGTCTGCCATACCTTGTCAGATGGGCTTCCCAAGTGACACATGTATCAGTCTAGGTATAGTCTGAATGGTGTAGCAAGGTGGAGGTCTCAGCCCCCCAGCGTAGGGCGTGCACCCCACATGAGCACCAGGTCCCTACGTGGAAAAGGACGCCAGTTCTGCTCTGGAGTTGTTTCCTTCCTAGGCTTTACCTGAAGCCCCGACAGAGCCAGAAGGGGGATGGTACAACCTCAGACAAATGGGAGGGAACCAAAAGGGCTGAGGGAGGTGGGAGGAGAATGAAGAGCGCCTGTTCTTGGACTATTGATTTTGTTGTGAGCTGGCCAGTGGCTCCTAAAGTCAGGGATTTTATATTCTTCACTTTCTACTTTCTTCAGTCACTAGCAGCCGCTAGGTGAGGAAGAATAAGACCTCTTTAAATTATGCATTAATTTTACCCCATTACTGCTAAAAAGATGAAACAAATATTTTGAGAGATACCTGTGGAAATAATGAGTGCTACATGATAACTGTTGTCATATCTTCTAAACATATAATGTGACATTTATGGATGTCATTTTCAGTGTTGAGTAGAAAGTTACAGCCCCAATATATAAGAAAATATTTACATTTTATGTTCTTTTATGTAGTTATAACTTATGGCCTTATTACTTTTATTTTCAATATAATAGGTTAAAGGTTATTGAAAATGAATTGATACAGGCTTCAACAAAGAAATTTTCTCTGGAGAAGTTATATAAGGAGCCCAGCATTTCTAGTATACAAATGGTGGATTGTTGTAAGAGACTTCTAGAACAGTCACTGCCTTATCTACATGGGATGCACCTCTGCGTTTCACATTTTTACTCTGTTATGCAAGATGGAGACCTTTGTATTCCTTGGAATTGGAAGAATGGAGAAGCCATAAAGTAACAGCAATATTTTTTTAAAGAGATAAGAAACTGTTAAACTTAATTTAAATCCACAGTTTGCTATGACACTATCACTTATGTATTACAAGAACAAAGTTCCTAACTGCTGCTTTAAAAGTACACTTTTAAAAATTAATTTCTTCAGGGCTCGGGTTGTGGCTCAGTGGTAGCGTGCTCACCTAGCATGCATGAGGCACTGGGTTCGATCCTCAGCACCACATAAAAATGAAGACGATAAAGTCCATCAACAACTAAAAAATTTTTTTTAATTTTTTTAATTAATTTCTTCAAGGAAACCTGTTTTAAAAAGATTTTGTCCCCCATTCTATAATGTTGATTGACAAGACTACGTAAAATGATATTAGAGTGAAAGAAAATATTTTTAGTGATATATAATGAAGGATTCTCTGAGTCATATATTTTTATATGAGTGAATGTTGGTTTGGGGCTGAACAAGTATGTATGTAAGTATAAACAGGTCTCATACCCAGTACATCTCTGAAGTATTGAAACCATTACATTAGCCCAACACTCATCCTCATAGTTCATCTCATGGATATATATACACACGTATTTTCCAGTAACAGCCGGTTGCTATCCAAAATAGATGACTGGTAGGTAGCAAAAATTGGATAACCAAATTTTGCCTAAGATAAAGAATAGAAGGGAAAAAAACAAATACATAGTATTGACATTGTTCTTAAGAGTCTGATATCAGTTTATTAAAAATCTTCATTGTCAGAGTTTAGTTGTAACCTATAATTTATCCTACTCATTAAAATTCATAAACATTGGAGCTGGGATTATATAGCTCAGCAAGAGAGAATGTGCTTAGCAAATGCATGAGTCCCTAGGTCCAATCCCCAGAAAAAATGAAATGAATAAAATATTGTAACTCTTGGTAACATGAAACCAAAAAACAGATATTTTAGAATGATTTAATAAGGTTCTAACTAGATTTCATGGGCAAAGACTATCCAGGAAAATCCTTGCCAGCTTCCCAGAGGGTTCAAGGAAGCAGTGTCAAGTATAAAGTAGTTCAGACCTTCCAGGTTTTCTCTCAACCCCACCTTCCTGTTCCTGCAGGTGTTGGAAATCCCCTCTTTAGCTCTGACCGGGTTAAAGCCTCTCTGAGTCACCTCTCATTCTTAGAAATATAGCTTAATCCCAAAGAGGTATGGGTTTTGGTGTCTATAGCAAAGAGACCAGTTCTAGATTCTGTACCCCTCTCTCTGCAGATTTCTCCTGAGATTCCTTAACCAGATCCAAAACCTCTCAGCTCATTTCTCAAGAGAACAAGGTGAATCCTGGTTTGGGATTTATGACCATTTTTATGACTCTTGCTGCTGTAGAAATCAGAAAGGAATTATTTTCCATCGTGCATTAAAACAAAAAGATGTTAAAATCAGTTCTTAAGTATGTTTTAAATTTACATAAAACATCAAATATGGAAGCAGCTTCACATTGCAAATATGTGTTCAAAAGAAGTGTTGTTTTGTAATTACTCATTTGTGCATATCATCCCTTTTAACTTGTGCCTAACAACTTATATTCAGATTTTGTTTTCTAGTAAAATAAGTGGTGTTGCCTGTAAACATTTTCCAGAGCCAAATAATGGGAGTGAAAAATTCCTCAAAGATTATATAAGATTTATTGGAAAATTAGGTTTCATTTGTACCATTGCTAAAATTAACTAATATAGAATCTTCAATACTAATGTTTTGAATTGGATTTTGTCTCAGAACTCATTATTACATAATAAACAATACCGACATCAACCAGAGAGCTGATTTTTCAATTACTAGTAGTTTCAATAGTGTCCAATTAGTAGTTTTACAACTTTGGCAGTGTAAGAAATTACAAGAAATTGGTGACCTAACACAAAAGGGAAAACTGTCCGACCACTGAGAAGGGGCACCCAGCCTCTGTTTTTATAAAGCCTCGAGGGAGAAATGGTCTCCAGCGGGACCTCACTCCAGATCACAGCTCAGGCTGTCCTGAGGGAGAGCTGGGTCCTGCCCTCCAGGGGAGCTGCACCCTCTGGCCTGCTGCCCAAACAGCATCTCCAGGAATCTTCCTCTTCCTCCTCCCTCTGACAAATGCCGCTACCTCCAGGCAGCCTCCTTGAGCTACTAAGAGGGTGGCAGGCTTTGTTGAGTGGACAGGTAGGATAAGAAGTTTCAGGGCCAGCTCACCTTTGAAATTTCTACAGATTAGTGTCGTTGGGGTAAACCCATCCAGCTCAAGTCGCTGCAGTGCCCCCACTTCTTCCAAACTAACTGCCTGTGTCATGGAGGCTGCCACTTCACCCCCAGCTGCCCCGGGCAGCTCTGACTAGGCTTCCCTTGAGCAAATCAACAGATCAAATCAGTTCAGTAGAGACTGATGGGACCTCAAGGCTCCTCTGTGGACCATGGAAACCTCCCACCCACAGGCCAGGGATGCCAAAGATGTATCAGGTGAGGATTAGCTGGCCATCCAAAGCTTGGCCTATTCCAAGACCACCCTCTTACCTATGTCACCTAACATCAGATGCAATGCAGATCCCAACCTGGTCCCCTCTGAACACAGTTGGGCAGTGACCATCCCATGGCCCAAGCCCTAGGAGACCCAAAGTTCTAGTCCTAGTGGCTCCACATGCTAGGTGGCCTTGGCAAAGCCCCTCTACTCTTGGCCATCTATAAAAGGAGAGGCAGGAGATCCAACATGGCGGCGGGTGTGGAGAGATCAAATCTCTGACCTCTTTAGCTGCGCGGGCATAGGGAGTTGTAAACTGTCTAAATGCTGTTTGCTCAGGATCACTAGGCAATGCAGAGCTGACGTGGATCTGGGGCGAACAGTCCGGGCCTCTCAGAACACACACCGAGCCAGGATCGGCTGCATTCAAGCTCTGGTTCGCCTGCTTCTCGCAGCCAAACCGCTATGACTCAGCACTAACTATCCCACCAAAACAACTGGTCAGCCCTTCTGATCCTACAGAAGTACATGCCAACCGAGCCTTCATAGGCAGTGGCCACAGGATTGAAACGGGGCTTGGGAGAGACAGTCAGGACCCACCCGTTGCATTGGTCACCCGGCAAAGGAAACGAACTGTCACTATTTGCATGGGATACCACCATGGCGGAGAACTGACGTTACCAAAACGCAGCGGAGGAGATAAATTCATTGAAACCAGTGGCAACAGGTGTGTAATCCCCTAGCCTTCCCTCTCCACATATCGGGGAAACCATAAGGGCCCCTCCCAGCTCTCCCGTGAGCGCGATAGCCAGACCGAGGGAATCAGGAGTGGCAGGGGACTCGCGGCGCGGAACTCCCAGCTACCGCTCCCACCAGTGCTGACAACTGAGGTCCCTTGCACCAGCTACCGGGGCCGTGGCTACCGGAGGGCAAGCAAATTCGCTGGGGGTTCTCAGCCCCAAGCTCTACAAACTTAGGGTCCGAGGGAATGGCAAACAGGGAGAGTGTGCCCAGGCGT